CCCCAAAACCCCAAAACCCCAAAACCCCTTTAGAGCAAAGTGTTATAGAATAATGTTAAAATGGGCTAAAATTCAAAGTCAAAGTCTGGACTTTCAGTCTTCTTGAGTCCGTCTCTGAGTTGAACTGCTGGGATAGGATTGATATTATCCAACTCATCAAGCTCTCTATCAAACGAATTCTGTAGGAATAAAAAGTCTAATATTACCTTCATGTCCTCCATATACTTCTTAGGAAGAACAATAGGCTTATTAATGCTCTCATTATTCAAAAAGGGAACGTCTCCTGACTGAAGTTTTAGTGGAGCCAATTTTGAAGAGAAATTCCTTTTGTGAGTGAAGTCAATACTCTCATCTTCTTCCGACTCTGACTCATACTCGGAAGTTTCGTCATCCTGGGTTTCCTAAAGCTTTAACGACACTTACCTCTTGGTGGGGCTTTTGGTCAAAGTTCATATTAAGGAGGTTATCAATGTCTTCTAGCTGTTCTTTTTCTTCCTCATCTTTCTGGTTGGCTGATAATCTAAAGTGGAATTATCGAGCTTACTCTTTAGAGCCATTTCTTTTAGAAGGTGACTCTGCAAATAATTTGTTTTCCGTCACTTTATTTAATAATAAAATCGTCCATGTTAATATCTACGATGTCATTGTGGTTTCCTAGAGTAATTGCTTGATTTATGAAGTTTTAAACATTATGATAGAAAATTCTTAGCCCAGGCAAGACATAGAAGCATTTGATGCATAAAGATTGCAGAGTATATACACAAAAGTAAAGAGTTAATAGTTTTAGAAAAATGATCACCATAGCATCTGACCGTTTTCGAGCAATTTAAAAGAATAATTAAAACTCATAATTTCTCAAAATACTTGAATTTTAAGAAAACTGAGAATCCGACTGAAAATTTTCCAGAATAACAAGCTTAAATGTTCCTCATTCCAAATTACCTAGCTTCATGCCCATGTTTACATCTGGCTGCTCTGGCTCCTGAAATTATTTAGTAATATTAGTTACCATGATATCTTTCTCATCCAAACTTAACTTGATAGCATTCTGACTCAATTTAGGCTTCTTCTTCTTTTTACGTCTTCTTCTTTTCTTCTTGTTGGCCTTCCTTACCTTTTTACCATTCCAATCTACATTGGATTCCTAGAGAAGGTTACAGTTTTGCTTACTAGATTGTCTAGCAAAGGGGAATTTTCTCTTTGACCATTCAAAGGGTTCCTTGTATCATCCAAGTTATGCATCTATTTATCAACCTATAAGCTTGCCTGTTCTCTATCTCTAAGGTTTTTATTGGTTAACTCGTACTGATATCCGTCTAAAGATGTATTTGACTGTCCAATTCCTCTGTTTGATAGAGTCATTTTATTTCTAAAATTGTTAGAGATTATTAGTACAGGTCGAACTTTCTTTTCTTCTGGAACTCTTTGGTAATTTCCTCTGGGAAATCTGCCATCAATACCCTATGAATAGTGAAGAATAAGTTACATCCAACTAGTAGTTCCAATTTTTATTCCTGAAGGTTTAAGTAGAGTTGATCAGCAGGAGGAAAAGGTTTTACACTCGATTTTTAAGTATGTTCTTCCTACTTGTACTCATATAGGAGGGTCTCCAATTTTTATTTTAATAGGTTTCTTCATCAAAACAAGGGTGCCATACTTTGAATTAGTATCTTCAACAAAGATTTTGGAATCTTCAATAAGATGAAAATTTCATTGGAATTTTGAAACGCTCAAGTCAGAGATTTTTCATGTAGTCTCTTTCTTTCTTCCAAGTGATATCTTAGTTTTTTCTTTGAACTCAAAAGTATGATAAACTTTAATATTATCTTCAAAAACTTCTTCAGGCATTAGTGCTTCCAATACAAAGTAATTGGGAGCTTTGGGTTTATAATATGACAATAGTTCAATAATTTCCTGTCCTTTATTTCATTCTCATTGGAAAATCATACTGACAGAGCTCACACTTTGTAGTTGTAAAGATAACAATAGTATGATGACCGTTCTTTTTAACTTTATTTGTTGCTATTAAGCCATTCTCTCAGACATTCGACATGAATACTCTTCATAGTGCCGGAGCATTTTCAAGGCTCAATTAAGGGATTATCAGGAGTGTCTTCTTTATTCAATCAAATCCTGCATCACTTGTGGCTTCTCCCTAATGTATAATATATAGAGGTTACTCTGTTTATTCTTTGACTCTGGCTTAACAATATTAGGAATGGAGCAATCAGACACATTGTCGATGTCACTTCCTTCATAGTCTTCAAATATATTGCCTAAAGCTGTTATAAATTCTCCATACCTGCATCATCATTGATTTTCCCCCCACTAGAAGGATTTGGTATCTCACTAAGAGAGGTGTTTATCTATATAAGTGTTAGCACTTAGACTAATGTCTTACATCGATAACCTTGAACACAAACTTCCCTATTTTCAGTATTGTGCCCAGTCTCAGACGATGCACTTTTATAATTTGAGTTCTAAAGTTAAAATTAGTAAAGCGTTCTTTTTATGATGATGAATAGAAGAAATTCAGAATCATATATTTACTCTTATTGAATGGATAGTCTCTGATGGGTTTCCATATAGCGTTTGAGTAATAATAGTTCTTCTCGTAGTTAGTTCCAATATTGTAGTAGCCATCCTTGTAGACTGCCTGCAATATAAGCGAATCAGCTTGACTGTTCTTAGTTGATATATATCATTCATCCTTAGAGTCCTTTCGATACATATGAAAAGAGTGGATAACTTTTAGTTTCTGGCTATCAATAGATCTATCAAAATAGTTGAACATGCCATGGGTGTACTTGTGCCACGTTAAAGATTTAATCTCCAAATATGGTATCGGTGGAACTTTTGAATCCTTTTTATGTTTGTCAGCTGTCCTCATATTCTTTAAATTATCAATAATTATACATTTGCAGGGGTTTTGGGGTTTTGGGGTTTTGGGGG